ATAACTCTACACCAGTCTCTGGCCATTAGAATGTAATTATATACAGTACCACATTCACACTGTTTATGCAGGTGAATGGCTACTGTTGCTAAACTGCTTCCAAGGAAGTAAAAATAGGTAAATAGAAACAACTTTCCTATTCTGTTCTATAGATGCTGCAATATTTTTGTCTCTACAAAATAGCTTCTCCATCCCACCCCCAACATTTATTCTGGTTACATTTTGTCAGAAGAGTAAGAAACCCCATGGCTAAAGATTAAATATTGAAAAAAGAAGTACAGGACAGCATCAGTATGTCATCATGTGTGATCTTACTTCCCTTCTGTGCTGTCAGTGTGTTTCTCCTGTGATGTGGCTGCTAAATAATAACCTCTTGTACCTAAATACAACTGCTTTCCATTTTTTATATTAGCACTCTGTATAGGGGAGATTCTGACACCTGGAAGTTGGATGTTAATAACTAAAACTCCATGCAAAATTCCAGCTGTGAATCTGGGATCAGGCCATATGATAAAAGAGTGGTGGGGGAAGGGGACGAGGCAGTGCTGCATATGTGCTGTTGCTTTCTGGGGACCATCCTCACTTCCAACCTGTGCCTCTACCATGCTCAAATCTGCCTTTTTCTGTGCCTCTTTGCATCTCTGGCTTCTGTGGTGGTTTGAGATGTACACATGAAGTGCCTCCTTCCAAGCTACATATTCAGGAGCAAAGTCATCCAAATCTTGCAGAAGCCCTGCTCTTAGCAGGAACAAAGAGACACGGTTATTGTTTTCACTTCCCTAAAACTGTGCAAATTGTTGCAGAAGACAAATAAAAAGATAGTATCCATGCCTTGAGGAGCTTATAACTGGCATGTGGGAGCAGGATAAGGAAACACTAGACTGACTATAACAACCTATGTTAGGTACTTGTATGAGTCTTCATGCTCTCTGATCAGCCCAATGCTTGATTTTTCTATAAACACCAAACCTGCCACAACAGAACCCTAAAATGTCTACACACAAAATGACAATGGGAATAGCACAGCTTCCCCAGGGGAACAGTACCATACAGACAGAAGCAGGAACAAAGAGAGAGAACAAAACACAGAGCTAAAAGAAAAGAACATTTAACTGAAATTTGATCACAAGCATTATGCAGTGAACACAGCCATTTTAATTACTGAAGGTTTCAGTCCCACCAACAAGAAAATCAATGGGAGGTTTGCAACAGGGCCCTAACCCCACAGGCTCCATTCTGGGTTTTGAGGTTTTGCTACAGCCTTCTTCTGTTCTGCTTTGGATCACTGCCTCGTCTCCAGGAGCCCTCTCCTTTTCTCCTATATTTGCCCACAAACTATTACTTTAATTGTTTGCCTGCTCTTCATTTTTGTTTACAACATACAAGAAATGCAAGTAAGGGCAAACTGCTTGGAAAACTTGCAAAACCATCCTCCTTCTGTTAATAAGAAAGGAATACCTACATGAATGTCTCTCTCTGTAAAACAAGGAGCAGAAAACTACCCATCTCTCCACATTCCCAGAATTCTTGCATGTGACTTCTTCAGCTTTGTCTTAGTTCCTGAAATTACACACATCATGACAAGCTTTATTTAACTATAGGTTTGATATTAACACACATTTTTTTAGAGACGTAACATATTTACAAACATCCTGTGTGTGGGCAGAGCAAGCAACTCTCCATATGTATTCAAATATACTGGAAGTCTGGAGTTTTTAAGCTGTCAAACCTGTGCACGGTTAAGAGGGGCTCTATTTTCACTCTTGCCACAGCAAGAGATTAGCAGCTTGAAATCACTTTGACAGTTTCAGTTACTCTATTGCATACCGCAGGGAATTTTAATTCCAACCTGTGAAATTGTAATTGCTTCTCAAGAAGACCAGAAGGATTCTGGGTAATGGGCACAGCCAAGCTCAATGTCAGAGTTGCCAGTTGCTGCCACTTCAGATATTACTTGCTGTTATTCAAAAATCACCCCAGCTTTCCATATGGGAAGTTGAACTGGGGAGTGAAACTAAATTAACAGAAGCTGTCAGATGTTCAGAAATGTGCAGGCAGCAATGTGACAGAGGTGGATGAACTCTCCTCAAAAGGTACTGTCTTGTTCTCTCTCTTTTTTAAAAGCAAGTCTTATGGAAAAAGAACATTTCTGTTTTATGCTCCTTGCTAAATGAGGATGCCATTAGTAAAAGGCTACAACAAAAGGATTAAATGCCAGTTCATCCTAAACATCTAAAAATACATAAACTCAATTTATAAAATGACATTTCACACCATGTTGGTGCTCAGAAAAGACAGAAGATGCTCATGCCATTCAAGTTTTGTGGGGTGAGAGTTTCCTCACTGAAAACAGCATGAAGTGAACTTAAGGCTATCTTATCTTATCAAACACAACTGAAGCTTTCCTGGCATCCAAAGGAAATCTGTTTCTTCTCGG